TTCATTATTCCTATTATTTTATTATTAGTTTCATTCCATCTTATTATTGATGCTTTTTTATCCCAACCTCTGGCCAGATCCACCATTATTCTATTATTTTATTACTAGTTTCATTTCCATTGATGCATTTTGTATCAACTCTTCATTATTCCTTATTATTCCTATTTTTTATTACTAGTTTCATTCCATCTTTATTATTGATGCTTTTCATCCCAACCCTCTGGCCAGATCCACTCTTCTTTATTCCTATTATTTTATTGCTAGTTTCATTCCATCTTATTATTGATGCTTTTTATCCCAACCCACTGGCCACACTCTTCATTATTCCTATTATTTTTATTACTAGTTTCATTCCATCTTATTATTGATGCTTTTATCCCAACCCTCTGTACAGATCCACTTTCATTCTTCTTCCTATTTTATTACTAGTTTATTCCATCTTTTATTTATGCATCTTATCCCAACTCTCTGGCCATATACACTCTTCATTATTTCTATTATTGTATTATTAGTTTGAATATATCTTATTATTGATGCTTTTTATCCTCGCCCTCTGGCCACATTGACTCTTCATTATTCCTCTTATAATATTACTAGTTTGAATACATCTTATTATCGATGCCTTTTATCCAAACACTCTGGTCACATCCACTCTTCATTATTCCTATTATTTTATTACTTGTTTGATTCCATCTTATTATTGATGCTTTTTATCCCAACCCTCTGGCCAGATCCACTCTTCTTTATTCCTATTATTTTATTACTAGTTTGAATCCATCTTATTATTGATGCTTTTTATCCCAAGTCTCTGTGTAGGCACAGTTCATATTACTAATATATTTACATTCCTAAAATACTTTGTCATCGAATTAACTTCAGTACAATCTCATGCATATGATTATTTGTTTAAAATGTTGTCCTATTTTTGCTTACTTTCCCACTCCTATATTTATGTAACTCCTGCTGCCATCCAAGTGCCAGATCTGACCCACCAATTATTACTGTTGCTATACATGTGCAGGGGCTTCACCTTCTAATCTTGATCTTGTCCTGAATCATACCTTCCGCTCTGCAATCCTTTTGTCACAAATAAAACATCCCCAGTCTTTCGCTGATTTATCGCTAATTCTATGGAATTTTTGTAAAAGAACTACATTTCTTGCTTCCACTAGTAACTTTATTCACTTCGGGTTCGATTGCTCTGTTATAATTTCTACTTGAACAGTTTCTTCTCAGAAACCGATTCCTAAAATATTACTTCCTTGATTCTCATCTCTCTTAAATTTTTCAATCTAATATTAACTGCAATCTTCTCCCCATATTCACATAAGCTGTGTCTTTTAGTTTGTATCCGTATACATCGAGGGGCTCTTGGGTCTTGTAAAGAATGCACATCGTCGTGAAAAATATGGAGGGGTGTCACTAAAACAGTGAAATCTTCCAGCATTAATTTATACGTACTGACATCTGTAGTGAAAACCTCTACTTTTACAAGCGCTAAATCAGACCGAAAATGGAGTACGGCCGCCATGTATGGGAAGGGGCTGTACAGTCTTCATTTTTCAGTTTTGTTAGAGCCCAAAAAGCGTACCTCCTTTCTTTCGGTTGATTAATTATTTTCCACACTGCAATCCCTTTTTCAGAGAGGAAACGTTGCCAGTCGCTATTTCCATGGAAATGTTCAGATAAAAATCATCGTTTCTAACCTTCACGCCGAGTACCCCCGATGACACCCCCATTGCAGTGAATTATTCTTATTTCCTCCTTATTCCACTGCTGATATGTAAGCTCCACTGGACCGTATTCTTCCTTCAAACCAATGCTTTGTGGAATCGACCCGCAAGAGGCTGCTTACCCGGATCACTACAACATTAACCTTTTCAAGTCTAGGGTAAACCGTTATCTTCCCGACATATCCGCATAAGCTGCGTCTCTTAGTCTGTAACCCTCTACCACGAGTAACTCTCGGGCCTTGTAAAGATGCACATCATTGTGAAAATTATAAAGGAGTGTCACTAGAGCAGTGAAAACTGGAAGCATTAATTTATACCTACGAATACCGAATATTGATATGCAGATCATATTAAGTCCTTGCAGCCATCCCTTTTTTTAGTTAGGGAGAACCTAGACTAAATGAATATTTTGCTAACTACATTAAGATTAAATTCCGTGTGCAATCTACATCACACAGAGCCCATATTCCTCTGCTATTCCTCAGCACACTGGTGAGTCTTTATCAGGTGCTCTGAAATTACAAACCCTGATTTGAATAACACCGGCAAATTATCACTCGGTTGACCTCTCCTGATAAACTCCTGAACGTGTTAAGTAATTGTCCTCTCCAAAATTTGAGGTTTCCTGCTTATATTGCAGTCATTGGGGGAATGTGTTCTGTTTGGTCTTTCTCAATGCATAATTTCATGAGGAAAATAACATTTCTTAAAATTTTAATTCATTCTCACTTGTTCCCTCACACACGCTCTCATACAAAAAAAAACATGCATAATCAACGATTCAATGTTTCTTGAACTATGTAAACTTTCGGTGAAAATAAAGTTTTCATCAATTTTAAAGGACGATCAGACGTGCAAACTTGTTTTGCTTTTAAAACGGGAAATTTTCTATTTTTTTTTCTCTGAAGAAGAAAAATGCTTTTTTTAATATTTTCAAATGAATAAATTAGAAATAAATCACATACACGGACATGTTTAATCCCATTGTCATCAGTGATAGTATTATAGTTTTATAATACAGGGTGTTTCAAAAAATTTGATATCATTTCGCAATCTAATAACTTTGTTAGATCTCCTTCAAATGACTTCAAATTTTAATAGCATCTTTATGTTTAATGTTTGTTTTATGTTTTTATGTCTTTATGTTTTTTGTTTTTTCTTATTTGTATTTTTATTTCTTTAATCGTTAATCTTTTTCTTTACAGGTATAAAATTCTATTTACTAGAAGAAAAAGGCGTTTTGTGTGTTGGAGTTTGCTAGAACACAGTCAAACAAGACTGTTCAGCGTGCATTTATGAGAGAGTTCTCTAGAAAGTCACCAACAGGAATGCAGATTTGGAGATGGCATAAAAAGTTCAAAGAGGAAGGCTGTCTGTGCAAAGCAAAAGGATCCGGACGACCACAAACTTCACATTTGTGAAATCGTTCACATAATCCACATGCTTTTGAATTTCTCATTCAGATTTGGAAGAATAAATCTTATGATCTTCAACATTAATACTTTTTAATTTCATTTGCCTTAATCATGTACTTTCTGTGATATTCACATCTCAAAGGATATCAAATTTTTTGAAACACCCAGTATTATAGTTTCATAATTTTTAAACCATTGCTAATTTTCACTACGGAAGATCAGACGTGCAAACATCTTTTGCTTTTAAAACGGGAAATTTTCTAATTTTTTTTTTTCTCTGAAGAAGAAAAATGCTCTTTTTTATATTTTCAAATGAATAAATTAGAAATAAATCACATACACGGATATGTTTAATCCCATTGACAAGTTTCATCATTTTTAGACCATTGCTAATTTTCACTACGGAAGATCAGACGTGCAATTATCTTTTGCCTTTAAAATAGGAAATTTTCTAATTTTTTTTTTTCTCTGGAGAAGAAACATCTTTTTGTTTTATTTTCAAATGAATAAATTTGAAATAAATCCCATGCACTGACATATTTAATCGCATTGTTTTCCGTAATAATATTATACCAAGATTTCAAGTTTTAGGTATATAAAAATATTTTGTTAAAAAATAGCCAACTCCCGCGCCATTTCTGCTTTCACGTATGGTTTTCCATAGTGAAAATATCTGAGGTACGAACTACGATAATTTCCCTTGATTCTTTTTATTACTAGGCCAGCTGCTAAGAAAGTCAGTTCACTGTGTCGTGTGAGACAACTTATCTCACCAGAATCTATCTTACATATCTATCAATCTACCGTTCGTCCATGAATACTGCTGCCACATATCATCCAGTGCCCCTACACATTTACCTTGAAATCTTTGATAAGATCCAAAGAAGAATCAGCAATATTGTTGGTCATGACCTGGTAGCTAGGCTTCAGTTACTTGCTCATTTCCATAATGTTACTTCTCTGTGACTTTTCTATAAATACTTTCATGGTAATTGTTCGGATGTCATCTTCGCTTTGGTACCTAGAACTTTTGAATCCGGTACCCCTACACATTTAACTTGAGCTCTTTGATAAGATCCAAAGAAGAATCAGCAATATTATTGGTCCTGATCTGGTGGCTCGGCTTCAGTCATTTTCTCACCGCCGTAAGGTTGCCTCTCTGTGTCTTTTCTATAAATACTTTCATGGTAATTGTTCGGATGTCCTCTTCGCTTTGGTATCTAGACTTTAAGCGAAATACTAGACAGGCTTCGAGATCCAATCAAATGACAATCGTATTTATGAAACGCTTTTACGGCTCCATGCTTTCCCGCCAAAAAATTTAAATGCAATGTCTATCTATTTTCCGCCTGGTTACTCTTTTCTTTCCCAACTCATTATTAATATTTGATTTCCTATATCTTAAACGCCCTTTGATCTTTGTGTCTTAGTAGCTTTTGTGTCTTACATGGGGTGATACGGATTAAGATTTAAAAAATGAATGCAGCTTACGTTATAAGCTATAGATCATGCGGTTCACTATTCAGGGAAGTTTGCTCAAGCCTGCTTGCTCTATGGCATAATAAATAATGATAATATTGATGGCAAAACATTATTTTTTTGCTGACTATTTTTTTGAAATTACGTAAGTGGTGAAAGTGTTTTTACGATTGTTGACAGCGTTAAAAAATATCTCTCGTCTAATGACAATGTTCTCTTTGTTTTCTTGTTCCTTTCGTTGTTAACATCAGAACTAATTATGGCAAGCGACAAAGCGATTTCGTATAATTGATCTTTCTAGTAAAGAACGAGAGACCAGGCTCATTTATGTCAGTTTTATTTTTCGTTTCATTTTTCGTTTCATTACTTCTGTATGTTTCTTTTTTTTTTCATTCTTGCTTCTTTTATTTTTATTTTTCAATCTTGTTTCTTTTTTTTCTTTTTCAGTCTTGTTTCTTTTTCTATCTTCTATCTTGTTTCTTTTCTTTTTCAATTTTGTTTCTTTTCTTTTTCAATTTTGTTTCTTTTCTTTTTCAATCTTGTTTCTTTTTCATTCTTTTTTCTTTTCTTTTTCTTTTTAATTCTTGTTTCTTTTCTTTTTCTTTTTCAATGTTGTTTCTTTTCTTTTTCAATCTTGTTTCTTTTCGTTTTCTTTTTCAATCTTGTTTCTTTTTCATTCTTGTTTCTTTTCTTTTTTCTTTTTCAATATTGTTTCTTTTCTTTTTCTTTTTCATTCTTGTTTCTTGTCTTTTTCTTTTTCATTCTTGTTTCTTTTCTTTTTTCTTTTTCAATCTTGTTTCTTTTTCTTTTTCATTCTTGTTTCTTTTCTTTTTCATTCTTGCTTCTTTTCTTTTTCCTTTTTCAATCTTGTTTCTTTTTCTTTTTCTTTTTCATTCTTGTTTCTTTTCTTTTTCATTCTTGCTTCTTTTCTTTTTCCTTTTTCAATCTTGTTTCTTTTTCTTTTTCTTTTTCATTCTTGTTTCTTTTCTTTTTCATTCTTGCTTCTTTTCTTTTTCCTTTTTCAATCTTGTTTCTTTTCGTTTTCCTTTTTCAATCTTGTTTTTTTCTTTTTCCTTTTTCAATCTTGTTTCTTTTCTTATTCAATTTTGTTTCTTTTCTTTTCAATCTTGTTTCTTTTCTTTTTCTTTTTCAATTTTGTTTCTTTTTATTTGTTATTCTCTCGTTCGTTTTTTTTTTTTTTTTTTTTTTAGTTTTGTCTTTCATCCAAAGTGAAAGTAAACATTTTAGTAATACATTCCGAAGTTTTGGCGCATGCGTTTCGGACGGGGCAGAAATTAGCACCTGTTCATTTTAAAAAAATATTTTTCTGAAGTTTTGTTTTTACATTCGTCTTGAACTCCCACTTGGTTCCGTTTTAATTTCATCATTTTTCAGTTCTTCAAATTCTGTTTTCGCATTTGTCTTACAAATTCAGTTTTCACGGATGTTTGCATGAGTCATTAATAAGCTTAGACTAAGGCCATGATTTCGGTAAAGAGAGGTACAGATACTACACTTTCATCAATGTCCAAGGGTCGGTAAAACGGCCGTCGGTGAGACGACGTTAGGGCGAAATCTCCATGTCGAGGCTTCCTTCTTATCTAAGAAGAGAGAACAAATACTACACTTTGATCCAAGTCGGAAGACTGGTAAAAAGGAAGTCGGTGTGAGGAAGGTAGGGTGAAATCTCCATGTCGAGGCTTCCTACTTATCTCTAAGAAGATAGAACAAACACTACAGTTTGAGGAAGGTAGTCAGGTAAGAAAATCCATGTCAGGTGAGGAGGCTCCATGTCGAGGCTTCCTACTTATCTCTAAGAAGATAGAACAAACACTACAGTTTGATCCCAGTCGGAAGGCCCGGAAAATGGTAGTCGGTGTGAGGAAATTACGACAGAATTTCCGAGACGATGATTCCATCTTATCTCGAAGAACAGAGAACAAATACTACACTTTGAACCCAGTAGGAAGGCCCGTAAAAAGACAGTAGGTGTGAGAAACGTATGGCAAACTCTCCATGTCGAGGCTTCCATCTTATCTCTAAGAAGAGCAAATAAATACTACACATTGATCCTAGTCGGAAGGCCGGTAAAAAGGCCATCGGTGTGAGGAAGATAGGGCAAAATCTCCATGTCGAGGCTTCCTTCTTATCTCTAAGAGCAAACAAATACTACACATTGATTCCAGTCGGAAGGCCGGTAAAAAGGAAGTCGGTGTGAGGAAGTTAGGACTGAATTTTGGAGACAATGTTTCCTTATCAGTCGGCGTAAGGAAGTTAATGCTCCTGGTTACCTGATAGTTTAAAGTATAGAATGGCTACCAAGTAGGTAAATAATATTATTTTTGACGGACTTGTTCTAAAACAAGATCCTTTAGTTGTCTCCATGATGCTTGCGCCGACATATTTAAATGTAGCTTACGTCATAAAATAAGCGCCTTCCTACATTTGAATAAGAAAAGTTAATGTTGCCGTATTTTATTTTCTGTCAATGTTTAGTCCGAATCGATGGCAGCTGTCACCAATCGAATAATGAGAATAAAATTCAAACTAGGCCTACCAGTTCAGCCTTTTTCTTTTTTGTTTACCTCGGTCGACAGGTGTTCACGGTCCGTTAGAATAAAAATAAAATAAAAAATAAAAGCAAAAAATGAAAATATCACTAGAAATTACAACGAGGCAAGTAACATTTCAACTGGCGAAGGGTGAAAGACTAATGAGTTATTCCAGAAGAATTTAAACTAAAAATAGTTGGCATGAAAAAGAGATGGGAAATAAAGAAAAAAAATAATATAACAATACGAAGAAAAACAATTTCGAGCAAAGTGAGATATTTTATTTGTTGGCTTGTTTTTTAAAAAAAAAACTTTTTTTTCTTTTCTTTCAAACTAAAATAAAACTAAAAACAATCAATAATTCAAAGGCTAGAAACTCATTATTCTTGCTGGGGAAAATATCGATGAAGTTATATGTTTCTACTAATTTCTTTCTTCCTCTGACCTTTGTTATTTGTTTGTGTGTGAGATTGCGTAAGCGTATGTGAGTTCGTGTCTGCGTGTGTGCGTGCGTGCATGTGTGTGTGTGTGTGCATGACTGGGTGTTTATTTGTTTTTGTGTCTGTTTCTTTAAATGAAAGTTTAAATGTCAAATGAAAGACAGGGAAGAAACAAGACAGAAAAAACAAAAACAAAAACAAAAAAAAACGAAGCAAACAAACGAAAAGAGTCAAGAAAGAAAGAAAAAGTAAATGAATTTGTGGCGGACAATCGAAAACGAAAGTGAAAGTAGCACCTCAATAAGGACAAAGAAAAACTGAACGCAATATTGATCAATGCATAGAGACACAGATGCGTCTCTTTTCCATTATCTATCTATCTATCTATCTATCTATCTATCTATCTATCTATCTATCTATCTATCTAAGATTCTTTCTTTCTTTCTCAGGATCTATCTATCTATCTATCTATCTGAGATTCTTTCTTTCTTTCTCAGGATCTATCTATCTATCTATCTATCTATCTGAGATTCTTTCTTTCACGGGATCTATCTATCTATCTATCTATCTATCTATCTATCTATCTATCTATGTATCTAAGATTCTTTCTTTCACGGGATCTATCTATCTATCTATCTATCTATCTATCTATCTATCTAATCTATTCTTTTCTTTCTTTCTTTCTCAGGATCTATCTTATCTCTTTCTCTTTTCCTTTGTCTTTCTCTCTCTTTTTTCTTTCTTTCTCTCTTCCTCCGACTCTTTCTCTCTCTCTCTCTCTCTCTCCATCTCTTTCGTTTTCTTTTTCTCTCTCTGTCTCCATCCCAAACCTACATCTCTCTCTCTTAATGAATTTGAAGACTAATATTGTTCGTCTGTTCGGTCCTAATCGAACCGGTTTATATAGTCATGGACAGTTCTGTGGAATTACCGTCATAAAAATACCTGTACAATTAACGCCGCGGCCCGACTCAGGTGATAAAATAGAATGCGTGCTCACGACACAATCGCTGCTAGCCAAAATACGTCTTCACCTCTAAGAGCATTTCGCAATATTTTTTTATATTTATTTATTTATTTATTCTGGCGGGAATCGTTGTGCGGGTGGGCTTTTGTTTGCCAGACAAAGCGTATAAGAGTTATACGCACCTGATTAACTCTCGAGAAACTTCTCTAAAATGATGAGGTGTCACGTCAACGGGAATATATAGAAAGTGCCTTAATCGCTAGATCATTCATAGGCTCGTACAAAATTTCATAACTTGCCTAGACATTTTCTGCTAATCTAATAAATATATATAAGCATTATTTTACAGATAAGTTCTATTTGAAAATTTTGCACACAGACACGCGGATGTCAGTCTCCGTTCAAATCTGTCAAACCTTTCAAATATTTTATGCCTATTGAGTGTACCCCCTCACATATACACAAGAATAGATACGTTCATGTTTAAACCAATAATAAAATAACTGAATCAACTAAGCTGTCAGATCCTCATACGTCGAAACGAGAGAGCCTTATATATATATATATATATATATATATATATATATATATATATATATATATATATATAGGGAGGAGAGAGAAAGAGAAGAGAGAGAAAGAATATAGATATAGAATAATATATATATATATATATATATATATGGAGAGAGAGATTTATATATAGTTAGATATGAACAGATAGATAGATAGATCCCGAGAAAGAAAAGAAGAAAGAAAGAATCTCTGATAGATAGATAGATACATAGCTAGATAGATACATATATCAGGCCTGACGATTGCATATAGCATGAGACTGTCGCCTCTAAGTGTTGACTTCTGTGTTCACTTTTATATTTACACACGCTCTATCTCTGATATCGAGCACTTTATCCCATAAATATAGCACACCTTAAAACTATATTTCTTCATATATGTATATATATATATATACATGCATGTTTCATTAAAAACGGCAGACAAGGTACTACGGTTAAGCTTTTTATTTAATTTTTCTTGTTCGAAAAAGAGATTTCTTTTCTGGACAAAGGGTGTGTAAGAACTGTCCAAATGTTTTATATTTCCGAGCGCTTTTGCCTATACCTTTAGCCATTATTAAGGATGATTCGATTTTTCAGCTTAATTGAGTGTGTGCATTCTCTGTATGCCTTAGTGTGTGGTAGGGATGTTTTTAATTTCCGAATACGATTAGCACATTGTGGCTTTTTTCGTAGTTAATATTGTTAAGAGTTGGCTTTTTCTTTTTTTTATTAAAGCTTCCATTATTTTTAGTCTTTTTTTGCATATATATATATATATGAATTTAAAGTATAAATGTGACATATTTTCATGCAGTTCTCAATATTATAAAAATATAGCAATGATAATATTATTTTTTTATATATAAAAAACAAACTTATTTACTGTAATTATTCCCGGTTTCATGGTAATATGCCCACTTTTCAAGGGGTTAATCTGTATATTAAATGCAATACATACATACATATATATATATATATATATATATATATATATATATATATATATATATATATATATATATAGATAGATAGATAGATAGATAGATAGATAGATATAGATAGATAGATAGATAATATTAGTGGTAAATATACACATACATAAGCAATCATATATCTCTATATATGTGTATGTGTATGTATATGTATGTGTATGTATATATATATATGTATATGAATATATATATGTATGTATGTGCGTGTAAATATAAATATGTTGTTGTGTATGTGTGTATACGCATGTGTTTTTGAACATAGAAATATAGATCTTTGCTAGATTAGATAATCGTTATGTTTGTTTGTTTTTATATGTTTATATATGATTTGTAACCTGTAGTTGATATTACTTTTGTCAAATTTTCTTGATTACACAGCGGCCCTTTTATAAATGTCCTTCGGTTTTAGTTCCCCCCACACTCCATCTCTCTCCCCCACCCCTTTTTCTTTTCTTTTCCTCTCCCTCTCTCATATTCCGATCGTTAAGATTAGATCGTCTATTGTGTGTGTATGTCACCACAAAATGTATCCTTAATGTATTAGACATCCGACAACATTCATTTTTCTCTCACTTAAACCGTCTCTGACTCCCCTCTTTAAAACTTCTCTCTGTTAAATTTTAATCCCCCCCCACTTCATCTTTAGACCTTCCTGTTCTTCTCTCGTCTGTTACCCCTCTCTATAGCTTTCATTTACTCTAACATTCGTCCCACACTCTCATACATACACTCTCACTAAATTTTATTTTCTATTCCCGGAGTTGTTTTTTCTGTTTTCTTTTTGAATTTGTAGATCTGATGAATTGGAACGTATTTACGATTCCAATGGAATAAATTATGACCATGGAATATTAATGTTTAAGCCTTTTATATATATATATATATATATATATATATATATATATATATATATATATATAAATATATATGAAAATAAAAATAAATGTTACAAAATATACAGTGAAAAACATAAAACTGAAAGAACAGTTATGTTTATAAAGAAACACGTAATCACTTATAAAGACATAAACATTCGACACCCCCTAACGGAATTAAGAAAAAAAAGACGCAAATATTAAAATTAAAAAAAATTAAATATTAATATATAAAAATAATGCGGATATTCATTAAAATTGAAAATCTTAATAAAAAAAATAAAAAAATACAGCACTCACTGAAGATTGAACTTATTACAACACTGAAAGGCATACATACAGATGCATTCATTTATAACTTGTTCTAATTTTTATTAACATTTCTTGCCTGTACACACCAGTATGTATATATTTGAGCTGTACTGACTTTAGACATATTATTTACATTATTCGGACTATTATCCTCATCTTTGTTGCCCTATTTATTACAACATTTCGACCGTTGTACGCTCCGGCCTTCTTCAGGTGGTTGGAATGTCAAAATGAACCGTTTATTTCGCTCACTGGGGTAGACTGTTCTAGTTCCACGTGCCATGTTTAATGGATGTCAGTTATCAGTTATCTCCTGTTAATTTCCCCTCTGAAAGTTCTCCACTGCCTTAACCGGGTATTGAACTCACACTCTTTGGATTCTTTCACTGGATCTAACTAACACCTTTATCCACTGTGCCATATGTCCTTAAATATGGCGACAAAGATGAGGATAATAGTCCAAATAATGTAAATAATGTACATAATACTTTATCTCAGAAATATAGACAGATACTGACTGTTTTTTTTTTTACATGCTTCATAGATGTTTTTTGTATACTTAAGTGATATTTGTTCGATAAGGACTTCCGTGCAATCATAAGTACATTCATTGTAGCATTGTATACATTATAAAAATATAATTGTAAAAGTCGGTCAAGTTAATTGAAGCACATTTTTTTTTCTACAAAACTACACATAACAGTTCTTGTACTATTCTGATATAGCACAGTATAAAACCAAAACCATTTTAAAAAGGGAAATTGTGCCATGGACTGAGAATGCTTCAAGACTTAGTGAAACAAGAGTCATATGACAGTTTTTCACGATTTTGCGTTTCATGTGGACTTTTAGGTGTTGCTGCTGTTGTCTCACTATCCTCAGAAGGTAAGAGTGACTAGAGAGGAGTTGAGTATCTCGCAGTGCTTATATATATATATATATATATATATATATATATATGTTTACATTTGGATACGCATCAAGCAGATATGAATGTACGAGAGAAAATCATGGAAAAATGTAGTTTAAAAACAGTAAAATCGACCTTGCTAACAGAAACGCTCCTCTGTGTCTCAATCGGTAAATGCACGTCAGGCTATATGACGGTTCTGTATAGGATACAGGTTCGATTCCTGTCGGAGGATGCATATTTTCTATAACAATTTCTCGGACATTCAGGCCGGTAAATTTTGCTTAATACTGTTTATTATAAAACAGAGCATTTACTTAAATATTTGTATCTATAAAAAGAATGTATAAACATAAAAATGTCTTTATATATATATATATATATATATATATATATATATACAATTTTTATGTATATTATTAATATATTATATATGTGCGCTACTTACTGGAAAGCGCTCAGTATCAGTGATAGAACTTACATATTTAACTCACATCAATCCAACTAAATATATATACATACATACATATATATGAATTTTTTGTTGTAAAATAATTTACAATAGCAAGGAATAAGCGTAATTTAAAATTTAAATTATAAGGCATATTGGTCTAAATTTAATACCTAAAAACAACCGGTTTCGTCCCAGCTTATCAAGTTTTATTCTGGGAATTAAAATACAAACGTGTAATTTATAGGATGACCAATGTGGAGGAGGGAAAAAAAACAAAGAAAACTAGACACCAATAATATTCAGACCCAGTAAACAATTCCTCTGTTTACAGAGAGAAGGCTTAAGGAATCTGATATATAAGGACTCCAGGACCTTGAGATGATATAAAGAGTGTGACCTTGTCAAAATAGAGAAATGGTCCACACTAAAGTCTGCTACACAGCTTCTGCTATTAATATATATTGAGCAATAGCTGACCCGGATGTATTAACCCTTTGACTATTGCTAGAGGACGGATTCAAAATCCTGGGAGTTAAATGATGATTTATCCTAAAATCCAAACGCTGAGACGTCCTCCTTAATGCTGTCGAGTCCACAACTTCATACATATTTGTAAATAACTGAGTTAACATGATTTGGGAGAAGGATATATATATATATATATGGATCCTGGGGCCACTGTCCTATGGGTAAGGAAACTCAGATGAGTTCCACCACGGAATAAGTGAACGAGTAACAAATATCGTGTGTGATGCCTTACCTCTTCGTCAACGCGGTCCGTTAGTACTGTTGGTATGACGTTTGCCTTCTATCGTAACTGTCCGGGTTTCAATTCTCAGTAGTGGATGCGCACTGCTGATGAGTCCCAAATATAGGACGAAACGGCCGTCCAGTGCTTTCTGCATTCTGTTGAGGTTTCTTCTAGACTTGAGGAATTACTTGATGATTATCTCAAATCCTACTAATTACCAACTGTACAAACGGGCCTTACGAATGGAAGAAAGAACAGTTAGAGTACCAAATATTACTCGAACATTAGCAGAAAAATAACAACTGTTTATACCAAATGGAATTTATGGAATTGTCTAATGAAAGACTCACCCTCTGGTAAGGTAAACGCGAATAAACGGGACATTATGTTCTAACAAGACGCGGCTTAACCCTATGAAAATTGTTGATGACATCAAGGATAACAGCATCCAAAACCTCCAAAGGATAACCATCTTTGGAAAGTGCCATCTTAATAAAATCCATTTCCCCGCAAAGAAAGCCTTCGGAACAGATCGTAAGAGCACTATGAGAAAGGGTCTTAATCAGATTCATCTTACGCTGTCAGGGACAAAAAGAGTCCTAATATGTATAGATCCCCGAAAAAATGACTTCTCTTCGACCACATGATCTTATTAATTTCTTGCAAAAATCAGCAGTAATTCCCTCCCATTCGTCTTTCAATAACTCCCATAGGTGATCCTGGTTTTTCGGGTTTCTTTTCTGAGCCCTTTCTCCAATTATCTTCCAAACATTTTCTATTGGATTCAGACTCGGGGCTCTGGGCTGGCCACTTCATTAGCGTGATTCCTTCTTCTTTAAATAAAGCCATAACCTTCTGTATTGTCCTGCATGAAAATAGGAGATTCATAAAGATTGTGGTGTAATCTTGGTACCACATGCTGCTGAAGAAGTCTTTTTTAAATCTCAGCATTGATATTGCCATGTACGCGGATGATAGGGCCAACTCCTGCAGATGAAATCATTCCTCACACCATCACACTGCCGCCACCAACGGTTTTCTTGACACATTGAGAAGACAGTCTTTCACCTGTTCTACCGCGTACGTAAGTTTTGCCTTTAGAACCAAATATAGTAAACTTGGACTCGTCACTGAAATGAACCGTATCCCATTGTGCGTCAGTCCAAACATGTTCCCTCGCATACTCCAGGCGTGCCTTTTGGTTTCGCTTTGAAATGGGAGGCTTCGAAGCTGGAATACAGGCATGCAATCCTGCATTTTTTAACCTGCGAGCAACCGTTTTCCTTGAGATCTTATTATCTGTCTCTTCATTAAATTTACGGGCAATTGATGTAGCAGTTTCAAAACGGTTTTTTGTAGATATTCTAACAATTCTTCGATCTTCTCTTTGCGATGTTTTTGGAGGTCTGTCGGTTTTTGGTTTTGCATCTAACGTTTTATCGGTTTTATACCTGCTAATTACACGATGAACGACACTTTTAGACCTATGAACAATATCAGAAATTTATGAAATTTACTTTATTTCTTGATAGTTAGCGATAATGAGTTTTTTCTTCAAGAGAGAGAGCGTTTTGCGTGTAGAATTTGCCATATTGATTACAAATAAAGTCCTAATGATAAATGAACTTTTACTTATTGTTGAAAAGCTTCATCGAGTTTTTTAACAATGTAAATTAAAAGTTTATGCAAATTATTAACATCGTTCCTTAACTTTTCTCCTGTAGCTTATTTCCTTTGTTCAAACAAAATAAGATCCCCCGTTCACAGAAGTAATCATAAATCTTAAGGAACATATTCTTACATTGAAAGTAAGAGTGTATGCCATGGATACCAATGCAGCTCCATCATATGCCACAATCTTCATGGGAAATCTGAGGAGACCCATATTTATCCTTTCATCGGTATCGACTGCATATTCTATGCAAGATATATCGATGATATCTTCCTCATACACACGGGCAGTGTGAAGAAACTCACTTAATTCCTTATGACCCTAAACACGGTACACAACATATATCAGTGAAGGCGAACGAGCGGCCCTTGTGACGCTGACACATAGAGATGACCTAATCATTACACAGGGTGACAGGAATTATTTAGCACGTCAGATCAATCGACGGTTCCGTATAGGACACAGGTTCGATTCCTTTTGGAGAAGGCTTCCTTTCTACGAAATTTCTCGAACTTTCTGACGGCTAAATGTAATTAATAGTG